CCCCAAAACCCCAAAACCCCAAAACCCCAAATATTAACACAGATGCTGAATATCATTATACGCTAGGTGTTTTTATGTAATCTCACTAGATAATACATCGCACAGTCTTACAAAGAGACTGTCTAGGCACAAAGTGTTTAGTAGTCATCGTCTAAATCTCCAAAAAGATCTCCGATATCATTATCCTCTATAAATCCGATTAGATTGTTGATAAAGAGCCGAGTTCGGTTGGCTTACCTAATTCAGATTTCATATCAATTTCATGGCCACTATAACTCAGATTTGGTTGCTTACCATATACATATCTCAGCATCATCCATTGCTCTATAAAGGTTTAGAGACTTTGGGCTTACTCGGAGATCGAAGATCGCTCAAATCTGCTATCGAAGTATTCCAAGAAGTATGGGTCACTGATCAGAGAGAGCCACAATGTATCTTCTTCAACATTGCCTATACGTCAGCTTGAGGGCCTACCTCCAGTCGTCTTGAGTAGAGACTTGATAGATTTTGGGCTCAGAGGGAATTTAGGGTCCTACAAAGTTTAACAAATATGTACATCAAGTTCTTTAAATATTAGAGCTGATAGGAATAGATGGTATCTTTCCTGATCTAAATGGCTTAGCATCTTTTTTGGCTTCTTGAAATATTTTAAGAAGACATCCCTTGAGATATGCACTTGTTTCTTTTTAAGCTGCTTGAACATCCATCTGTTGATAATCTTCCTAAAGAGTTTATCAAGCAAATACTTTGTGTGAGGATTTAAATTCTGGATTTTGTAGAACTGAGATACCTCTAAACAGTGGATTAGAATAAGTACTGTTGATAATTTCCAAATCTTTCAGATTTTCCTTGTGGACTTTCGTCAGCTGTTTAATTATCTCTTCAACAGAAGTTTTAGAGGCTAGGAAATATTTTATACTATTCTGAACCTGAAGAATAGCACCTAAAGCAGAAAATGATGAACCCCTATCATCAGCTTCATTCTCATTAGAATTCTCTTGAGGCTCGTTCTGAGAGTTCTTTTTAGCTTCATCCTGCTTGGTGAACTCAACAAAATTTTGTGTCAAACTTGACAAGAGGGCTTGATCTTCTTGTGCTTCCTATATTAATTACAGAACTAGTCTACCCAGTCTTCTTCTTCTGTTACCTTTTTGGTATCTTCCTCTTTGACATCTTGCTTAATTTCTTCAGATTGTTTGACCTCTTCTAGTTGACTTATTAAGCCAAGCTGATCTAGTGTTATAAAATAGTATGTTCCAAGAGGCTCAAACTCTTGAAGGTTCTCTATTCTCTTCTTAAGTGTACTATTCTGTAGAGGTAGGAACTTTAGACTCATGAATAAGTCATATTTCTCTTCCAGGGCTCAACCGTCAATTTGGAAGTCTTCATAAGTTAGACATATGTTCTTCCAAAGAGATACAAGGAATATGAAGTGTTTCTGGGTTGATAATAAGGCTTGAATAGACTCATCAAGAGTTCTATTAGTCTTTATTGAATCGAAATCAGCTCTTCTCAGAGCATCAATATCTAGACTTATGAGCACATGCGCTTACCTTGAATATTGTAGAGGTCTAGGTAAAACTTTCCTTCGGATAAATCAGTCAACACTTTGCATAATCTCTCAATAGTTTTAGAGTAATTCAGAATGCTTACATGCATTGTGAATATTTTCAGTAAATTAGGGGCTTCTTCGAGAGATGGGAAACTAGAGTTCCTTAAATTAAGCTTACTTTTGGTATATTTCTATCTCTGTGGTATAAAGATATTTGTCAATATACTCAAAGAGTGTATGCTCTCGAGTATACTCAAAAGCTTGCGAGTCATCAACTTTGACTAAAGGTTAATCATCCTATATCTACCTCCAGTGATCTTTTCAGAGAGTGCTCCAATAGGGTAGAATTTAACACAGTGATAGTCTAGGATATCATACCACGCTCCAGGTTGGGCAGTTCTTTTCTGAACTGTTCTCTCAATTTTAGGAATCAGATGCTTCATTAAGAGCATATAAGCATTGACCAAGGAGTCATGAAAGCCGGAGATGTCGATAAATTTGCCATTTATAGGCTCTATGAAGGTGAACCTTATCCACTCACCTGCGTACAACTTCATCAGAGTTGGAATGTCCCGGTAAACTCTTGAAGAAAACTCTTTGGTAATTTTCAAATATGAGAATTGTTTATAAGGATTAACCTTCCTGAACATACAGTGAAACTCGATTACTTTTAGTAAGTTAATATATTCTTCTAAGACTAGAAGTGGTGCTCCTTGAGTTAACACTGAGATAAATAATTCGTAGGTCCTAGACAGATCACTTTGAAAGATACCTTTCGAGGTAAGAAGTCAAAGACTCAGCTTTGAAACAAGGACCACAGTATGTTGCTACTCAGGTAATCATGATGTTCTGGGTTAGCAAGCTGAGCATGCTTCGAACAGATTCATCCCTCTCGAGTAGGTCTTTTAAGGTAGAGATTTCATAACTTTCGAATTTGGTCAGCATGTGATGAAGGATCTCGTTTTGATGAGGTTTAAAGATTCCTATTTGTATGAGAAAGGTTAGATACAATCTTAAAGATGAAAGAAAAGGTTAATTTTGAAAATTTTTGCTGTAATTTTTGGAGGATTATTTGTAATGAACATTCTAATTAAAGGAGTCTCACAATAATGACTAAATAAATTTATTTAGCTAAATATTAGACCAAGGAAACCCATATAGAGCTTCATATCCTTAGAAATCTCTTATCTAACCTTAAAAAGTAAAAGTTTTTCCATGCACATTCTGTCCCATTAATGTGAGCTAATTCCCTCTATCTTATCTTACCTTAAATTGACATTAGAGAGCAATTTGAAGATATCAAATTTTTCCTCTTCAATAGAAGTCGGAGCTAACTTGTTCATCATTCATATTGAGTAATAGTATATTTTGAGTACTTTTAAGAATTCTCTATTGACCTAGAAACAGTCAGAGCTAAGCTTACCAGCTTTATATGCACAATTGATGATATTTCTGAGGGTTCTATTGCTTTTGGATGTCTGAAAATAAACTCTAGGCAACCCTACCTTATGGTAATCAAGTGCTTGGTAAATCAACCAGGATCTGAATTCTCAAGACTAAAACAATAGTTGTAAACTAGCTTACAAATGCTGAAATTCAATGAAATAATTTATTGTGCAAAAGAATTTATCAACCTGAGCTTCACCTCCAAAAATAAGACTCGGGCTTATCTCAACATCAAGAATTTGTTTTAGACTGAAGAAATATATTCTGAGAAGTAAATGTGTTCTTAAAATCCAGCTGTAGTTGATGGAAACTGTATGTAGTTGCTCTTTCTTCATAGTCTTTAATGAAACTGCAGGTCTTGAGCCTAACTCTACAATGTAATTTCCATGAAGAATACCTGTCTCTATTTGGTCAAGGAGGGCTTCATAGTTCATAGTGATATTGTTGGTCAACTCCTGATAAAATTCTCTAGTCATTTCAAAAGGAGAGTCAATTCCATGTAGATTACCCTTAGCATATTCCCAAGCTTGGTCTTTTTGAAAATTAATGAGCATATCTTTTGGGTTAGGGATGTTATTCGCTAAATAAAACAGAGGAAGAACAGAGGCAGCACCAGAGTTGGTATATTTGCAATCAATAGTGTCTGGTTCAGACCTACTCGTGGTTACTACAGAAGCTTACTCTTCTTCTACAAACATTTCTCTCCTAAGTAAATCTCCAAAATTTTCACTCTCCCTCCTATATGTCATAAACTATGAATCTACTTGTTCCTAGTGGAAGTTGTGATATTCTCATTGAGAAAGCTGGAGAATGAGCTCTGAACTATTTCAATTCTGCTCCTCACTCTTTTGCTGAATGTGAAGGATTTAAAGATAATTCCATTGTTCAGACTTGTCTCTTTGATATACCAATATTTATTGGAATCAAAGGAATATCCAACTACGTTCTTGGGAGCAGGTTTTGTCTCTGGCTGTAAGTAACCATTACTCCCAGAGAAAACGTAAATCTGTTCTTCAAAAACAATACTAATCTGCCCGTAGCCAATGGAAATCACTGCTTTGTGAATCTGGTCTGGCTGGAACTTCCGGGCCACTTCTTCCTCAAGACGTGTGAGTTCATCTGCCTTAGAGAAGAGTGCATTTTTCTTATCCGGCTCGATCTCGAATATTAATTTCTTTTGGAATTTATGAAAGAATGTCTTCTTGTCGTAGCCATGGATTGACCAATAAAGTACCTTCTTGACCCATTTGTCTGTGTTGTTCCATAAATTGTCTTCATTGAAAATTGAAAGCTGGGCTTGATCTATCTCTACAGTACAAGAGAGGGCATAGATCATTGCTCCATCACAGATCATTGGAGTTGCTCTCATAAATCTATTTGAAGGGATAAATCTGATGGATAGAAAAGAGTACTTACCTCACGCTTTCTTCATCAGAGTTTTCAAAAATTACACTTGCAGGTGTAGATTCAAGAGGCTGGATATCTTTCTCTCTATATTCTCTTACTTTAGCTTTATATTGTTTATTTTTGCTAAAGATATTATAGATAAAGTACTTTCTCTGGCCATGGGATGATCTCAAACTTCTCATTTCACTTTAAAAATGGAATATCTGAAGTGTATGTCGCATCTTCTCTCTTAACTCAAAGTTCAGTAATCTAAAATTTTACTAAGAATTGTTTTATCTTAGTCTTACATTATCCAAGAAAAAGATTGAAAGTTTTCCTGTTTGCAGTTCTTCACAAGTGGAGCGCTTTATGATTTTATTCCCTTGAATCTGTATTATTAGCATGATTTTATACCTTTAAAATGCCAAATCCTTCTCAATAGAAGTAGAAATTGTTATTATTCATCCCAAAAGTTCGATGTTTTCTAAAAATTATTCAATAATTGTACTCAGGGGCATGTGCCTCTGGCTGCTTCTCTTCCTCAAATATCCCAAAAACAGTGTCAAAAATCTGCTTAATTTCCTCTTGCTCAAATCTGTGCTCAGCTTGCTCAAGACTACTAAAGTCAAGGCTTGCTTGGGCGGTTTCAGGTCTAAATGCCAGAATGTAACCAAGAATCTTCAGAAAGATAACCTAGTAGGAACTTACTGAGAGACATCAGAATGTTTAACTTCATGTTCTTCGATTCTATCACAGATTAGTTTTTCCAAAATTTTGAGCAGATTCTGACGAGAGCTCAGCATCTCTGTGTGGAAAAGGTAGACTTGACTAGTAGCTTGCAAACAAGCTGGAGCTGAAGCTACACTTTTTAGGGAAATAAAATACCTCAGTTTCGAGAAGCTTGCAGAAGATGGTACCCTGAGTTATACAGCTTTGACATTCAGCATAAACATTCGTAAACATCTGGGTTATTTTGGAGGGAATCGAACTTTAGTGAAGCATACAAGGTTTCAAAAATCTTCCTTGTCTCTTTGAAGGCAGTTATGTCTAGAGATTTTTAGAGTTTGAATCTTAGCACAAGGTATTAGAAGGATACTTACTTTCAGAAGATCCTGGTCCAGAGAGATCTTCATAATGGAATGCTTCAGAATTGGAAATAATTTCCTTCAGTTTTTGGAAAATATTAACCGGTGGTTGTTTAAGTTTCTCAAAACTGTTGGAGAATAGAAGAAGCCATGCAAATGTACCATCATGCTCAATATCAATATCTTCATTGTAAAAATCATGGAATGTTGAATAGCTTTGTGAAGGATATCTATCTATCCCAAGATATATATCTGAAAGTTAAACTAAATCTATACAATTTTGGAAGAGATCTTTGGTGTTTTGAAATATCTCGTGTTTAACTTCGATCTGAGTATCTGAAGTAGGATCTAAAGCAATAGAAATATGGATAGCCTTGTATCTTACCGTAAACGCACTCTATCTCTCTCAGGCCTTGCTTAGGAGTGATTCCAGATGCAAAGGTCCTCATCTGCATCCTATTCATTGCTTATTGCTTGTTCAAAATGTATGCTTACCACTCTATGAACCCTTGATCTGTCTGGTCTTTATTAAATTTCTTAGCTTCCTTCAGTTGTTTCTTTGCAAAATATCTCTCTATTTCTTCAGTGCATTCAGTCAGTTTCCTTTCTTTTATTATAGCAGTTAACTCTTCATTTGACATTCCAGACTCTGCTGAGAAATGGATGTATTCTGTACTAGCTTGGTTAGGCCAGGAAGAGATTAGTAAAGAATAAGGGTGGAAGATATTACCGTGTGACATTTTTGTTGATATTTATAGGAAATTTATGATTTTTAAATGGTAAATTTTGGGAAAGGGGTTTTGGGGTTTTGGGGTTTTGGGGTTTTGGGG